TCCTTTCAAAAACAAATATGTACATTTAAATCAATATTCTGGCTTACTCCGTTTTGTTCATGCCTTGGGGCGGCATTCTGAGAAAACGAAAAAAGATGAAACTATTGTTTCTTCAGTATCACATCATGTACACTGTTCATATACATGTACATGTAGGCACAGTTACATGTATCTTCCAATGACAAACAGATGTACCGGTACAGGTAATAATTAATTAATGATTAAATAAATCCCCTCACTCACTTCATTCTCTTTTTCCGCCCACTACAAATGAACATTTAGAAAGATGCTACATGAAATCAATGGCCAAATCCACATGTGTGCTTTCAGACTGTGTACCTCCGTCATCTGGACAACCAATTTTTTTTCTACAGGTCTACAATTATTAACATTGGATAAAAATAGGGTACAAGTTGGCAATATCGCAGGGTAAAGTCCACCATTATTAGATAGGAGATGGGAAGATAAGAACCCTCTGCTTTTTGAAATAATATCATTAATTAGAGATGATAATGATAGACAAGCTAGTTAATATTTCATTGATCATCCGTTAATCTTGCCTGGAAGTGCAGAGTGACAATTTTTTACACAAACTAGTGAATTATTTTGTACATGCACTACATCAGAGTTGTACATGTACATGTATAAGTGATATACATGTGTAAGGTTTGATGGGAAATAATTGGGAAATAAACAAATTAGAGGGATTTTAGCATAACAATAATACTAGAATAATATGAAAAGTTTCAGTTTTATCAAAGAATGTAGGAAAGTGATAATAACACCTGTAGTTGAGAATCTTGTGAAACCTGGCCTCTGTTTCATAAAACTTGTGAATTGACAATAAGTTACAATGACTGTTATAAGCTACTGAAATCATGGCATTTGATTGGCAAAGAGCAAATTTGTCATAGAAAATTTTTCATTTGTTATTGATAACAAGTTTTATGAAACAATGTCCTAGACACAAGCTCACATTAACAAATTGATTGAATGGTTCACGTAGTACAGTGTACATACATGTATGACATGCAATACAGTACACACAATAAACTCATTGTACATGTATGAACAGTACAGTATGTTTTACCTTAAATGTTGCTAAATCTAATTTCCTTGATTTTCATTATGAAATTAACAAGTGCACAGGTACATGTACAGTGCATGTGTGTTCTTTATGAGTGGGAAGGGGGGCACTTGCCCCCTGTATCCACCAATGAATATATCCAGTAGTTTGGACCAACATGTACACAACCATACAATTAACAACTACATGTACATTATTCACACCCTTACTAGGTTTTTTGAATTTATTTAAGGATGTAAACAACTGATTTGTCCTGGCAATATACGTGTATGTTTCTTGAGAATGTTACATACATGTAAGAGCTCTCATCTTTAAAAGTCAAAGGCCCTATAAATTCAACCAGTTTACTTTTCCTTCTCGAATTACAAAAATACAAACAACAACCAAGGAGTAATGAATACATGTACAGTAATCTTGTTCTTCACTGTAAACAATGTACATGTTCATGTACATGTGTACATGAACATACATGTAGGCTTAACTACAGGCGGCACTGTACACAATGTCTATTATGATCCATAACACTATAACATGTATGCCCAGTTTCCCCCAAGCTGATCCTAGACAAATATTTCATGTAATTAAAAATTTCCTGATATTCCATGTAGGGCTGCGACGAGTAGTCAAATGCTTGAGTACCCACTCTGTTGACAACTACCATATAGGCCACACCCCGACTTTTTGATAGTTTCTCTTCCAAAAATACTGCGGCCTTTACGCCAGCAAATACAGTACTCGAGTATGATTTGTTGTACTTGAATATTTGGCCGCAAACATTTTTTTTTAAATAAATAAATCCCGGTCACCTGGCACTGTCCAGGCCGACGCTTACCCGTACCAGGGAGAGCGCCGGCCGCCGGCATGGTACCGTGGGTAAAAATGTTTCCAGCTCAATCACTGTCAACTCACCACTCAGAAACTGGGACCAAATGTCCGGATTTCTGTTTGGACTCGGAGGTACAGTCATCTTTGGTTTTTAAAACAGCATTGTTTACTATTACTATTATTATTAAAATCGGCGCCTTCAACTGCAACTCGAAGTAAAATAGCGTGAGTTTTTGGAGACGGACCTGGCATATTTCTACTGTAGTAGTATGGTGGTGGCCTTAAAAGAGATTAAAAAAATTTAAAATGCCACCACCATACACCACCTACGAAAACTCACGCTAATTTACTTTGAGTTGCGGTTGAAGGCGCCGATTTAATAATAATAATAAAAGTAAACAATGCTGTTTTTAAAACCAAAGATGACAGAATAATCCATTTTCCTCCGAGCCCAAACAGAAATTCAGACATTTGGTCCCAGGTTCTGAGTGGTGAGTTGACAGTGATTGAGCTGGGAAACATTTTTACCTGCGGTACCATGCCGGCGCTGCCTCCTGGGCACGGGTGAGCGTCAGCCTGGACAGTGCCAGGTGCTGGCAAAAAAAATGGTGTCCGAGTACGAGAAGTCGTACTCGAGTAGTTGTTAACAGTGCAAGTACTCGAGTATTTGACTACTCGTCGCAGCCACAGTACAGTACATGTACATATGTATGTGCAGCTTTTAATACTAGTGAAACTGTACTTGGTAAAAACCAACAAAAATCCGTCAGAAATTTACCTTCCATCTTCCCCGCTGGCATTAAGCATAGAACTTGTAGGCACCGTGCATCCTGATAAGGACCCGAAGGACTGATCATTGAGAGGAGATCCAGGCAGAATCCCAGTAAAAACAGCTCCACTCATGTCTGAGGATGACGATGATCCTCCCCTTGGTCCAGCACCACCAGATCCAGGTCCCGCTGGACTAGGACCAGGACTCAAGCTGCTCAGGTAGGACATACTGGGCGGGGAAGACGGGGATTGGAGGACAGACATGAGAGAAGGGGACTGATGCTCCCCTCCTGACGATGAGCTCCCGCCCCCTGCCCCGCCCGTTTGGCTGCCATCTCTACCAGCTGCCAAGGGTATATCAATACCCCCACTATTTGACGATGATGGCGGTTCATGAGTCTGAGACTGTGGCGTAGAGGGCCGAGAGTCTGGCAACACCTGGATAGCCTCCTTTGAAAAGGATGAATTCCGACTGACTTGCCCTTCACTGGCTTCAACCGGATTTGTACTGTTTGGACTGGATGCAGGAACGTTGGCCAGGTCTATTAAACGATTTTGGCCGACGCTTCCAGTAGAGTCTCGTTTTGTAGAGCTTGGCCTGCTCCTCTGCGGGTTCGACATTCTGAAGTTTGGAGTCAGTTGCCTGAAAATGGAGTACAAAAATTACTTATATTTAGCTGCATTTTACACATCAAATTCAAAGTGTTGTATTTCTCACAAAAAGAAAACTAAATTCAAGATGTAAAATGAACGCTAAATTTTGTCAACATGAAACTGCTAACGTTTTTTGTAAAGATAACACAATGTCTGGGTAAGTACAGTACATGTGTATGAACATTACATGTACGTACAGATGCCAAGTGTGACATGCAACAGAGAAAATTAATTTCTGATATATGTTCATTCAATAATTATCGGAATTCTTGTTGGAAATACATGTAGTGTTGTGGGTTGTTAAATTTGTGATCAATGAGTGAATCGGCGACAATGAAACCTCCACGAAAATAACTGCTCATACAATCTTTTAATTTTTGTTTGCAATTTCAAAAATGACACCACCGCCACTTTGTTGTGAAAATAACAGTTCTTGTTCATAGTCTTACAGTACGTCTAGTCTTACTTGAATTCAATGAGATCTTTTTGGAAACTTAATCTTTTGAATATTAAGGGCGCTGGTCCGAGAGTAAGGATATTCTGCATGAGCAAGGATATTGTCTCTGTAAACGCGGACAAACGCATCCTAAAAAAAGGGATTCCGCGATGATGCTCCTTCATGCATTTCACATTCACTTTGCACTGAAAGTTTCACGTTGTGAACGATATATCCTCTGATCATGGGGGCATTTTATTACGCACAATCCGTTTCTCACATTTTCAGCGCGTGGATCAGAAACACTACACACCCCCCCCCCCCCCCAGAGCACCAAAGAAAAAAATGTCTGCATTTTTGTGGACGATCATTATTTTTTTTATGTTTAGGACGTGATTTGTCCGCGTTTACGAGGATTATCGTTGTTGATGAGGACGATCTTAATTCTCGAACCAGTGCCTCCACTCTCTGTACTGATGAGGAATTCTAAGTCCGATCGTGTGTACGGGCTGTAGGCAGGTAGGTCTATCCAAAAAAAGTCTTAAAATAGACCCTAACGTTAGATCTAAATAAAACAATGAGACATAGGTCTAGACTAACTCACAGAGGTTAAAATGCGATCCATCAAAAATAAGGTACCCGGTAGACAAATTCATAACTTGCACAGCAAGATATCATAAAATCAGTCTGTACCACTTATTACTTACAATTTTGAGGATATCTGATCTAAAAATGAAGATTTCCGGTATTTTCGGAACAGACACAATTTTTTATTTTTTTAAATGACCGTAAAATTTGCTGATCTTTTGTCAATATTTTCAAAATTTCACACCCGATTCCAGAGAAAATTCCCACTTTAAGTAATTTTATGTTCCTCTTTTCAATGGTGATATCAGATTTTCGAAATCTTATCAAGTTTTCGAGATAGCGATCTATGGTCACACCGCCGTACATGCTCCCTACACTGAATTAGCTGTGCACACTAAACAAACTGTTTTGCTGTGCAATTTCCCAATTGCCAGCGAATAAACCTTACAAAGTACAATTTAAAAAGTAAATAACACTTAGATACGACAATTTCGTTAATCTATTGTGAACCATACTGATTTCTTACATACCTCACCTATTGAAATCTTTCTTTTGAGTCCATGAATGATTTGTAGTGAGGAATTAGCGGAAATCCTACATCCGTTTTTACGAAAAATATTGGGTTTCTTCAACGATAGGCCTTATCGCAAATAGACTCACGCAAAGGACGATGGGATTGAAAAGGGAGCAAGAGCGCCGCAAACGTGTGATCGCGACCATGCGAACAATAGCAGCCGACACACAGTACGTACATCGCACGTTCGCCCATTCAGCTTTCAGCTTTCAGTTTCACTTTTCAGCTTTCAGCGTTCAGTCTTACTTTTCAGCTCGTGATATTTTGTCTTGCAAACTCACTGATTACATTTATTCTACACGATGGGTGGTGGAGACAGATGTGCTGTCTATGGATGCAACAATGACCGAAGATATCCAGAAAGGTAAGATAGAGTTTTGATGTTTAGTTTACACTCGAGTTTTGTGATGACAAAGTGGAAGGCCCTAGAGTCTACAGTGGAGTGGAGAAGGGAATCGTGTCGGGACAGCTACGGCGTTGTTACTAACAACAACAGCCTCTTAACATTTTTGTCTGGAATTCGGAATTGAAGTTTTCTGCAAAAATAAGTTGAACGAACAATGAGAAAATTAGTTCAATTGACAAGTTAAAATCATAATATAGACAAATCTATGTAATGATGGTAATAATGATGATTATTGATCTATATTATAATTTTTGTCTTCTTTTTCTTCTCTCCACAGATATGTTGTGAAGGACCATGTTAACAACCTAAGGTTTCACAAGTGCACAGATCCCCGGAACTACGCCCAGTGGACCAGGCTACTCAACCGAGACATGTTCCAAGTAACTTCTTCCACGAGAATTTGCAGCAATCATTTTCAGCATGGACAACCCTATCCCGATAACAAGCACCCTTCATTGCACTTGAAAGGTTACGAGGCGCAGCCCAAGACTCCCAGCCGAGCTCCACCAAAGCTACGGGATGACAAGGAAAACGTACCACCGCAGCCAAGTCGTCGAGACAAGAAGTCCAAGTCCGTCGGAGTCCAGGTCAACCCCACTGATTTTGACATCACGCAGAGCAGCGAGGAGCACAACTATGCCAACAGCAACACTTCTCCGCAAGTCTTCTCGCAAGCTCATGTCAACGACATTGAGACTCAGCTGCACGAAGCCACATCGAAATGCGAGGTGTTAAAACAGACTGTGAATGACCTAGCGGCAAAAGTCACCTCACTGGAAAAAACTCTTGGTGCCAAAAAGAGGTTCGGAATCGAGGACATTTCGTCATCTGATGATCTAATCAAATTCTACACTGGAATCCCCACGTATCAGCAATATAAATGGCTTATGGAGCAGGTGCATCCTCGTGCCGTCACACTGCACTACTTCAAAGGAAAGTCATCACTTGATGATAAAAACTACCAAGTGCTGAACCACCAGAAACCAGGAAAAAAGCGATCGCAGTCCCTCGAAGATGAACTACTAATGACTTTGATGAAGCTTCGTCTCAATCTCCGAGAAGAAGATCTCGCATTCCGGTTTGGAGTAAGCCAAAGCACCGTTTCACTAGTGCTTTCAACCTGGATTCCTTTCCTGAGCAAGGAGCTTGAAAGTTTCATCCTTTGGCCAAGTCAAGAGGACACTCACAAGTACTACCCGAATTGCTTCAACAAATTTCATGGAACTGTACGCTGTATCATTGACTGCACTGAGATTCAGATCGACAGACCGACACTGGCAGGCTCACATTCCCAGGTGTACAGCCAGTACAAAGCACGGCCAACGTTGAAGTGTCTCGTTGGAATTACACCAGGTGGGACCATCTCATTTGTGTCAAAGCCAGCAGGGGGTAACACGTCAGACAAGAAGTTGGTAAAAATGTCAAACATCATAGACAAGTTCGAGAAAGGTGATACCATCATGGCCGATCGCGGATTCAACATCCAGGACCTCTTGTTGGAAAAACAAGTGAAAGTTGTTATTCCACCCTTCATGAGGACAACGAAGGCTACCAACCAGTTCACCGAGTCGGAGGATGTCCAGACAAAGACGGTTGCTAATGCTCGTATACACGTCGAACGTGCTATAGGGAGGATGAAGGAGTTTGGCATTCTTCAAGGTCCAATTCCCCTGACGATGATAGACCTGATGGAGTCTGCACTTGTGGTGTGCTCTGCAATCGTGAACATGCAGCCAATGCTGGTACCTCTGAACTCGTAATGTGAGGTTCACTTCAAATGGACAGTAAAGTCAGAAAACAGAAACCCAAAGGCTCTTTTAAGAGCCAACACATGACAATATTTGTGATATTTGCATCAAAGTGAAGACATTGAAATATATGTATGTGCACCTAAATTTCTTGTGTGTCTTTTTATTTAGATTTGTGATTTGCAGAAATTGAAAAAGATAAGAGAATATAAGTCATTTACATGAGGGCGAACGTGTGAAGAATGAGAAAGGAGAGCTGGCAAAATAAAAAAAGAATAGAAGAAAAAAAGGCTACATTACGAGCAGTATGAGATGGAGAATAAAAATGTGAAAGAGAATGTGATTGTGTTTTATAGAGATAAACTGTTGTATAATCAATGAATAATATAAGGCCTGAAAAAAAAGATGTTGTATTTGCCCTTAAGATTCCAAAATATGTGTCGGTCGGTCGGAAATCTTTTTTTTTTTTACTTTAAAAAAAAAACTCTTTGGCTGATATTTCTCAGTTTTAAATACTTAAATACATTTTTTTCTTCTAAAAAAAACATTAATTTTTTAATTTTTTTTTTAAAGCCGTTCATTGATTTCAATTTTCTTTGGTCGGTTGCAAAGGGCAATACAACATCTTCTTTTTGGGGGTCCTAATTGAGATACCCAGCTAGCAATGTAGTAACCAAAGTGGATGAGGGGGGGGGGGGGGTTTGGTCGGTGGGATGTGGCATTCCCATAAGTTTTCTTGGCACATGCATCTCTTCCTCCTCTCCTCTATACTTTTCTCAACACGTACTTCTCTTCCTCCTATCTCTTCTATACTTTTCTCAACAAGTACATCTCTTCCTCCTATCTTCTATACTTTTCTCAACACGTACATCTCTTCCTCCTATCTTCTATACTTTTCTCAACAAGTACATCTCTTCCTCCTATCTTCTATACTTTTCTCAACACGTACATCTCTTCCTCCTCTCCTCTATACTTTTCCCAACAAGTACATCTCTTCCTCCTCTCCTCTATACTTTTCCCAACAAGTACATCTCTTCCTCCTATCTTCTATACTTTTCCCAACAAGTACATCTCTTCCTCCTATCTTCTATACTTTTCTCAACACGTACATCTCTTCCTCCTATCTTCTATACTTTTCTCAACACGTACATCTCTTCCTCCTATCTTCTATACTTTTCTCAACAAGTACATCTCTTCCTCCTATCTTCTATACTTTTCTCAACACGTACATCTCTTCCTCCTATCTTCTATACTTTTCTCAACACGTACATCTCTTCCTCCTATCTTCTATACTTTTCTCAACAAGTACATCTCTTCCTCCTATCTTCTATACTTTTCCCAACAAGTACATCTCTTCCTCCTATCTTCTATACTTTTCTCAACACGTACATCTCTTCCTCCTATCTTCTATACTTTTCTCAACACGTACATCTCTTCCTCCTATCTTCTATACTTTTCTCAACACGTACATCTCTTCCTCCTATCTTCTATACTTTTCTCAACACGTACATCTCTTCCTCCTATCTTCTATACTTTTCTCAACAAGTACATCTCTTCCTCCTATCTTCTATACTTTTCCCAACAAGTACATTTCTTCCTCCTATCTTCTATACTTTTCTCAACATGTACATCTCTTCCTCCTATCTTCTATACTTTTCTCAACAAGTACATCTCTTCCTCCTATCTTCTATACTTAGCTCAACACATACATCTCTTCCCTCTCTCTACTATTCATTACTAAACAAGTTGTATATCTGAATCAATTTTATTTTCCTCTGAATCGTCACTCATTGCGATAGTTTTAATACATTTTGGAATCAAGATATTTCTCTCTTTTTATCTCTTTCATAAATTACAAAACTTTCCATACCTAACAAAAATGAATAGATACAAGGCCATGAAAGATAGTTGTCTTAAATTGAACATTTACTTTCTTTCTCATACATATACATTATGAAAAGAAATCAGTATCATGTACACAACTTTACAGATCATAAAAATAAGGACATGTTTATGCTTCATACATGTACAAGATAACAAACTTCCAATTCATCTTGAAAGTGGAGATTTAAATTATGAATACTGTTGATTTCTGAGACAACCTTTCTTAATATCAATAATTTCTCCCAATTCATTTTCGGAAAGATATTTGGCATTAGTAAGATGTGGAAATTCTTCAAATGTAGATTTAACATCAGAATTCAAATAGACAACCTTTTGTTGCGCAAGTTTAAAGACTCCTCTACACATTTTTAGTTTTGAAGAACGGGCTAAATTTCCATCAAATGAGGAAGTACGGTTTTAGCTGGCAATAAACAACAATGGGTTTGCATGGCACCTCAGATCTAAACAAGTGTTTAATTTCATGAACAGTATTCAATGAAACATGAGAAGGTATCAAACTTGACGGGTCCGTTTACATGCCTTCAGTTTTGAGGAACACGTGTTGCATTTCCATGATGACTTCCTCCGCCTCAGGAACGGCTCTTCTCCATGGATTCCAACACAAAAGTAGTGGAACCATCTGTCGCATGAGTCACAACCAATACTGTTTTTGTCCTCATCGTGTGGTGACTCCTCACATTCGTCATTACAAATGCCACATGGAAAGTTGGCCTCCTTGATTGTTCGAGCTGGTGCATCAAGCTTCTCCAACATTGATTTCATTGTTTTTTGCACTGAATTGTTAATCACAATGTCCTTGACTCGGCCGCTAGCAAATTCCGACACAATCCCTTTGTGAAAGAATGTGTGGATCTTGGGTAGGATGTTCTCCATGTACTGATCATCGAGCAAGATTCTCTCCACGTGTAGATTGTTGACCTTAGCAATTGTCCTTACCACAAAGTCACACCACTTTTTTCCAGACACCCACAGCTGCAATTGTACCTGGGCGAAGTAGGGATGACGTCGATTGAGATGGTTGGTTCCATTTTCGCTCACAAGGCAGCTTCCCTTCTGTGTCACATACTCAGTTATTGTGGATCTTCGCTGTGTGTATGGATTTTTGACTTCTAGTAGCCCTTCGCCACAATATCTACAAGTGACGATAGCATCAGGAGAGGCAGCAATGTATGGAAATTTGGTACTTATCCATAAGCCTGTATCCTCACACTTTGTATTGGAGTTCTTGCATTTGAGTCGATGGTAAGCAGTGTACTGTTTGACAGCTACCTTTTCCTGGCTCTTTCCCCATTGAAGGGCTGAAGACGATGCTGATCCATAATATCCCATCACTCGTGCAACTTGGGAGTGGCCATGGATAGTACCATTTCTCACAGCTGCTGCACAGTCCCCAGCAACACTAGCAGTTATGCGACCAACTCTGTGTTTCTTCCAAAGATTCGATTTCGCCTGTTGTTTTGTTTCTCTTATGATGACCTGTTGCTGGTGGGTACTTATTTCCATAAGCTGGATGTCTGAAAGATCTTGAAGAGCCTCTGCCACAGTCAAAGGGAAATCACAAGAGACTACCTCTTCGTATCTGTCGACCTCTGAAATGTTCGGCGTTGATTGTAGTTCATTGGGCTCCCGCTTGGTGTACGCTAACAAACCACAGTTCCCGTTTGTGATGGAGGCGAGCCAGTCTAGGTCGAAATCATTGATATTTCGCCTGGCACGATGGCAATGGAGTCTAGGGTCAAAGTTCGAACGATAAGGTCTACTATTGTCTAACTCTTGATGCATAACATCCTCTTTCATTGCCACAACTTTAATGTTCTCAGCAAATTGAGGTTGATGGAGAGCCTCTTTCATCCTCTTTTTTGGCGGAAGGCCCCAGGCTTTAGGCTGTGACGTGCAGGATGCGTTGCGACCTTCCTCCACTACTTCTGCTACAGCAAACAGGAGAGCCGCAATGTGCTTGCAGGTGGCCTGTACACTGTGAGAGAAAAAAAATGAAAAGAGAAAAGAATTACTTACAAAGAATATTTTCTCTACCCATCCCTTTTATTGTCATGAAGTCACAAAAACTTGTTACGAAAATTAATTAATTATTTAAAAAATGTTAAATGTATAAATGATGGAAGCATTGGGTAAATTTGAGGCAAAATCTAGGGTTTGGTTTAGGGTTAGAATGAAAATGAAAATTAGCTAAGAAAAGAAACTTCAATATTTGGATCAAGATTCATGCATCTGTGAGTCTAGTCAACGTCAACTTTTGTGGTGATTTATTCTCAAGTTATATCTACATTTTATGTAACTGCATTTTTTAACAGCTTACCCTACGCAACAGTTGCATTCAGCTGTGCAGATTCTTCCCGTCTCTTTCAGCAGTACTAGCCATGTCGAGTATGCCGACTCAGAAAGCTTGACCTGAGGAACGACCTATAAATTGTGAAATAATAGGAATGAAGAAAGAACATAATAATAATGATGGCATGAGTCATTACTTCTTCCGAATATGAACTGGTTCATAACTTAATACATAGTCATACTGTGATTTACTAAGCTGTATTTCTCTTTTACCAATTTCATCATTTAAATTTTATTTTTAAATATGAATCTATTCTAGACCTCTACATGTAGGTCTATTAAAATAATATCACTGATATATACCTTTCCTCGCACGAAGCAGTAGCAAATCTTTGGGTTGATGCCATGATATTGTACTGACTGTACATGACCAGACATGTAAAGACCTTTGCCCAGCGCAAGAGTTCTCCTCCCTTCTGTTTTTACCAGTCCAATTCTGCGGTTTCCTGTGCAAAGAAACAAATAAAAATAATTCCTATATGAATAGACTAACAGTAACATGAGTAGACTAGAACCTAACAAATTTATGACAGTTTAAAATATTATGCCCATGAATTGATGATGATCAGATTCAGAAATGAGACGTGATGCTCCCACAATCCACATTAGATTGCTTCTAGTCCAAGATTCCGAATCTTATCATAGATTTCATATTTATACTTCAGTTAAATACATATTTTTTTAAACCATTTATCCTTTATTGAACCTTTTGATGTTTAAAAAAACACAACTCACCAGCTTTGATGAAACTGTCAATGTGGTCACGGGATGTGTCAGGCAGATTGGTAGGACCATCTTCCCAACCGTCTGTAAGTGTCTCTGGTCTTGGAAGTCGTATTAAACCATCATCAAGTATCAACTTTTCCTGCTGACACTTTAAAATCTCTTGCTCA